AAAAAAAAAAAAAAAAAAAAAAAAAAAAAAAAAAGACAAGAACATACAAAGCACCTTATTTGTGTTTCTAGTCTGTTTAGGTCCAGTAAAGAATAGAGACAACTGTACATTGTTTTTATTATTGAGTCTGGAAAAAAAATCCTATGTAAATAAATTACAATGATTTGGACATATATACACCTCTAACCCGATATAACGCGATCCAATATAACATGAATTCGGATATAACGCGGTAAAGCAGTGCTCCGGGGGGGGGGGCTGCGGTGGATCAAAGCAAGTTCAATATAACGCAGTTTCGCCTATAACACGGTAAGATTTTTTGGCTCCCGAGGACAGCGTTATATCAAGGTAGAGGTGTATGTGCATATTTATTTGTTTTTCCTAAAGTTAATTAAGTATTTTAGGAAAAATTGTCAGAGCGGCCACCAGCAATCGTGTCACAGGTTTCATGGCCACCCAATCCATGTAATCACAGACTCAATGCCCATGCTACTACCCCTCCCATAGCTAAACTATGAAAACCTTCCATAACTGGCAATGTGCAACTGGCACCAAACCCACCTTTAATGCCTGCAGGGAGTGCAGTCCTGTGTGCCTGCTCCTTGTCCTTCTTTGGCACAAAAGAATAGCTGCAGTTCCCTGTACTGGAGACCTGACACAGCCCCTCCACTGACAGGTGAAATGTAACCTTTATGCAGGTATATGAACATATATGTAAAACGTTTCACTGTGAAGAGCTACTATTTTCAGCAACTATTTTGACATTCTGAAGCAGGGTAGGATGCCACATACCAGAAACATCAAGAGACACTGAAAAAGTAGTGATCATTTTGAACACAGCTCCCAATAACAAGTTACACCTACTTGATATTGTTGTGAACATCCTTAGGAATCTTAAGGAGTTCAAGAGAGACGCAATGAACATGAGTGAGTATATGTATGTATGTGATTATTATATACTAGTATTCATTTTATTTGCCAGGGTTATGCTTGAAAAGCTTTCCCAAAATGATTATGTCCATGCTGAATTGTAATTCTATCAAGTTTAAGGAAAATTATGGATAAAACAAATTGAAGCAGCAGGTGAGGTTATGCACTTTTGAGATTCTCACACAGTATTTATTTATTTATTTATTTAAGAACATGTGTCAGAAACCTTTTCTATTACAGTTGTGTCCTATCTAACTGGAATAGGGAAGGTTCCGCAAAGGAAAAGCAAATTTGACTCAGTGTTCTGGTTGACTGTGTGAAAGAGCACATGTGTAATGTGGTTTTTAGTTCTTTTGAAAACAGCTTTAGATGCTGATGGAGCAAAAACTGCAGTTTTATTGATATTGCATGTAATGTATATGTTTATATAGGCCTTAAGTTCTTTTTTATTGAGAAAAATGGTAAAATTTTGAGATAGTTTGACTAGATGCACGTTTGCGATCATTTAGAAAGTACAGGATATAACAAAACTTCGAGGTTCTATTGTATCTAAGTTTAATAAAAAAAAAAACTTCCACAAAATAGTTTTTTCCTCCTTTAACCAAATGTAGAACTTCCTACCCACTATTCAAAAAATTACACTTTGACAAGGACTACAAGGAACAATATTCAATCCTGCATCAGTAACAGATGTTGTATATGTTTGAAGTCCAACATGCACAGCTAGAAACAGGACCTTTATACCATTGCAAAGGGGAAATTCTCTCAGACCCTGAAGGGCTGCAATATCAGTCTTGAAAATCCCAATATTGGTGTCTAGAAAAGCTACTTTAGTAATTTATTCTGGTTATTATGCCTCCCTTTGACGCCTACAGAGCTAGGTTCATAGTAACTATCGCCCCAAAGCTACATCAGGATTTGCAAACAAGGACCCCTGAACCAAGTAGACTCAATATAGGCATATGGGTCCCCACTTGCAGGTCCCAGTACAAGATCAGGGTGGATGCTCTTACAGGAGGAGGGGAACAAAGAAGAGCTCCTCCACAAAATATTAAGAACACTTGAAAACATTCCTAAAAATAGTATTTCTGCACCATATTTGGCACATTCTAGAAACGTGAACGGGAGATGTGGTATAAAGATTTGAAAGACATTTGTTTGGAAAAAATATGCATGACTCACTCATGGCTTAACTATTTGTGAATAACGCATCTATCCCAAGCTTATGCTGATAAAGCAGGGGTGGGCAAACTTTCTGGCCCCAGGGCCACATCTGGGTGGGGATATTGTATGCAGGGCCATGAATGTAGGGCTGGGGCAGGGGGTTGAGGTGCAGGAGGGAGTGCAGGGTGTGAGAGGGGGTGCGGTGTGCAGGAGGGAGCTCAAGGCAGGGGGTTGGAGTGCGAGAGGGATGTGTGAGGTGGCTCATGGTGCAGGAGTGGTGCGGCAGGGAGGCTCAAAGCAGGGATGCAGGGTACAAGAGGTATTCGGGGTGTGGGCTCCGGCCCGGCACTGCTTACCTCGAGTGGCTCCGGGGTGGCAGCGGTACGCAGCAGGGCTAAGGCAGGCTCCCCTGTCTGCCCTGGCCCCGCGCTGCTCCCGGAAGTGGCCAGCATGTCCAGCAGTGGCTCCTGGGGGTGGGGTGGGTACCACCCCGGAAGCTCCTATTGGCCACGGTTCCCAGCCAATAGTAGTTGGGGGGGTCGGTGCCTGAAGGCGAGGGCAGCGCACAGAGTCCTCTGTCCCCTTCCCCAGGGGCCCGCAGGGACAAGGTGCTGGCCGCTTTCGGGAGTGGTGCAGGGCCAGGGCAGGCAAGGAGCCTGCGCCTGCGCCCGCTGCGCCACGTGGCTGGCAATCCCGTGGGCCGGATTGAAAGCCCTGATGGGCCGGATCCAGCCCGCGGGTCGTAGTTTGCCCTCCCCTGTGATAAAGCCTTTACATCACGCCATAATGCACTCTAGCTATCTATAAATAGATACACTGTATATGAGAGAGAAGATATTACAAACAGCATGAGTCATACAAGGAACTGAGTTTTGGAGAACAGCTTTGTCCTAAACATTAATTTTGTTTTCAGACCACGGGGTTGCAATAACCACTGCAGAGCAGGGAAAAGGTGTGTCTATTTATCTTTAATTTTAATGATATCATAACTACACCAGATATCCACACAAATGCATTCTCTACTTTGTAATGCAACATGATTCAAAAAAATACAAATAGCAGCATGATTTAAAAAGACTGCTTTTCAGTCAAACAACAATACAAGCTAGTAAGTACAATACACAAGAACTGTTTCACTTTGTACTCACTCTTACAAAGTTGTCAGGGAACAAACCTCTTCTGCCTTTGAGCTGTCCTTCCCACCAGCCTCCAGTCTCTTTCTTGATATTGGTGATTATGTCACCTATTGTGATTGTCAGCTCATCATCATGTTGAGCCTTGTAGTCAAATTCCACTATCGCCTCCACTAAAAAAGAAGCAGACACATGTTACAGAGCGTTAGAGACAGTATTTATTTTCAGTCAGATTGATTAAAGTCTTCATGGCTTCAGAGGTAAAAAGAAAAACCAACCAACCAACCCGGTAACAGCTGCTCAACAACAGGAATAGCATCAGATTAACCTTGAAGACTTCATACAACAGCAGCATATTAGGGACAAGGGCTGGTGGGGGAGAGATCCTTTGAGAAGCCCTTTATAACTAGTTGACAGACAGCAATTTGTATCAGTTTATTTTATATTTATCTTTTAATTTAAAAAAAAATCAATTTGTGTCGCTGCAGCAGTATCCATTCAGATGTAAGCATTACAAACTGGTGTCTACTTCTGGGAAAAGATTATGGTTTTTCTCCTTGTTACTTTACAAATACTTGCTTTATTTCAGCACCATTCTGAAATGGTGTTCAAATCCATACCATTCAAAACCATAGCCATTTACTCAGTTTGCCAAACACATCATTGCTACCCCCAGAAGCATTTATTAAAATTTCTGCATGATGCTAAGTTTCACTATAACAATCTTTCTATAAGCATGATGCATTCAGAAATGCAGAGCTCAGCCTGGCAAAGCTTTGCTATGTACATATACTCTCTTAGGATTTCACTGAGGAGGAAAAATTGATGTTCACTTGCAAAATGATTATGCATCAGAGGATGTGAAATTCAAATATTACTATTGCGCCAAATGTCAACTATCAAACACAAACTTGTTGCTGCTCATCTACCAGTATTTCATCATGCCAGGTAGAATGCCTTATTCTCTTCCCAGAAGAATAAAAGCCCCATAAACCCAAACCCCTCAGATTCTCTCATATAATATTATAAATATCTATATCAATATCATGTATATCTAGATCTCTCACTGGAAGGACCTAGGGAATTCATAAAGGCAGGAATAAGCTATTAGAAATGGGTAAAGTTTCCTCCCCCCACCCCTGTACCATATCACTGAGCTCTTCCTCCGTCAGTGTGGAATTGAGATCTACTGTAAATTTCCTGGTGCTTTGTCTAGTCTAATTTTAAAAATCTCAGCCATAGGGCTTTCATCACTTCCCTCAAGAGAGGGATCTAAATCTAACAGATATCACCATCAGGAAGTTTTTCTGATTATTGGCCTCAGTCTTACTTTTGTTTATTTCATTCCATTACTTCTTGTTATAGCCCCTTGTATCACTCCGATACATTTCTCTAGTAGGGAATGGAAAATCTTTTTTCTAAATACTTCGTATTTTACTTACTGTGGCAAAATATTTTTTTTTAAAAGAAGCCAATATCAGAGGCAAGCCATGCAGAAGGAATTAATAACTTTTCTGCTACTATGAAGATGATGCTCAATGGTAGAGTGAAATTTTTGTTAGTTTGTTTGCTTGTGTTTGTTTGTTTTTGGCACACTAGAACAACATTTTCCCCCAGGTGCTGTTCTCACTTATTTTCACCCCTGAAACAACCCTCCTAACCAAAATTACTGTATTCTTATCTCTAGAAGCTCTCCCAGCGGCTACCAAAAGAAGAGTGGATGCCAGAATCTCCGGAATAGATGCATTTAGAAAGCCCCATCTCCTGTGATGGGAAATCATGCCCTAAGGACATTCTGTAGAACATTTACCCTTTAAGAGGTTGAAGCAGCAAGAACAGAAATACCCACATTCATCTCCTTTCTGTGCAGATAACTGTGTGTGTCATGTAAGACATCATGAGAGTGAACTCTCAGGGAATCACGGCGCTGGCACAGCGAAAGGAACATAGACCATTAAACCAGGAACAGGGTGTTGTTGCCCCCTGCTGGAGGCCCTGCCACCTTGACACCATCACTCTCAGATGGCCTTTTGGAGAAAAAGAGGAGTGCGTTCATTCTTTCAAGAGCTGCCTAGAGAGGCCATCCGGGATCAGCTGCTGGCAGAACCAACAACTGTCCTCCACCATCAAGCAGGGTGATGAGCAGGCAGAATCCAATCAGGGCCCAGCAGGGGGCAACACCACCCTGTTACTGGCTGGTTCTTCTAGGAGCCAGTTCTGGGTGAAGTTGGAATGGGGATGAAGAATGTCTCCAGTCTTAACCCAAGAAACCCAGCTTGGTCAGAGGTCACACTCTGACCACACTTTATTGTAATTGGACCAGTGAAGTGTTCATTTAGATTACGAAATTTAAAGCCCAGGTGGTCATCTTGAGTTAAATATCAATTTACAGTTGTAAAATGAAGGCGAGCGAAACCCCACTGGCCCAGACAAGACCGTGACACCACCACAGATAGTAAGACAATCCCAATAACATTCCACCTAACCTATAAAGGGATAGTACATGATATCGAACTAGGTTGGTAAGAGAGTATTGTTATTCCTCCCATCCCAAAGAAGTCACACACACATATGTATACACATATTTTCTTGTTTCTTGGGCAATATTAACACAGACAGAGATTCACTTAGCTATAGCTAGAAGAGCATGATTGCTTTTGGCCAAGGGCTAAAGGCCACAACACATCTTGAACTTCTGAATGTCCTGGAGATCTTTCATCAAAACATACTAGTCTCATCTCACATTAGATAATTAAAGATTTCTAGTCCTACCAAGACTTAGACATCACAGCCACCATTTGGCATCATAATTAAGGCTGTGAGTTTGTCACAGAGGTCACGGATTCCGTGACTTTCCATGACCTCGGTGACTTCTGCAGCAGCCGGTGCGCCTGGCTCAGGCAGCCCCTGTGCCAGGCGCAGGGCAGTTTCGGGCCCCTGCCCCGCAGAGTTTTGCTGTGAGAGGGGAAAGGGGGTTGGGGCACCAGACGGGGTGAAGCGGGCTCCGGGAACCGCGGCAAATGGGAGCTGCGGGAGCAGTGCCTGCAGGCGGAGGCAGCGCAGAGTGACTGGCCACTCCTCCGCCTTGGACCTTAGCCAGGGGGATGTCAGTGCTTCCAGGCAGCCCCCGGGTAAGCGCCGCTCAGAGCCCGCCTCACCCCATCAGGTGCTCCAACATCCTGGCCCCTCCCACACCCAAACTCTGCTGCGGGGGGTGGGCGGAGCCAGCTAGGGAGCCTGCCAGCTCCAAGCCTCCCCACCAGCACCAGCGGGGGTCCCAGGCCATTTGCCGCCACCCCCACCCTCCTCCTCCAGGCAGCTCCCACCCCCCCAAGTTTTATTCACTGGTATTTTTAGTAAAAGTCATGGACAGATCACAGGCTGTGAATTTTTGTTTACTGCCTGTGACCTGTCCATGACTTTTATCAAAAAATACTCATGACTAAAACAACCTTAATCATAATGAATCCAAAATACCCACAAGTGAGATCATGGGCACCTTAAAGAAGCTAGAGATGGAAGAAACCATTTTAATGCATAATGGTGAATTTGTCAAACACAAATAATGCTCATTCGGCATTGGAGGCTAAAGTCTAAAGGACAATTTTGTTCAATGGATAGTTTACATTTGGTTGCCAGCTTTGGTCCACCCGTGAGACCACAGATTATGAGCATGCCATTGCTAGCCTTCTAGGAGAACCATTAAGATAGGGAATTTATCAGTCATGGCACCTTTTTAGGGTTCCAGGAAGAAAGATCTGCTGGTGAGAACCTCTGGCCCTTGTATGGGGACCACAAAACAAAAGAAACAATACACAGCTGAGGCCATAAGGGGCTCACTGCTTGTAAAACAAATAGCAAGACCTGTAGCATATGTGAGATGAAGTCCAATACCACTTCTTATAAGAAATTTACTTTCAATCAGAGCTTGAATCAGACACCTAACTAAGGGCCCTACTAATTTTCCATATTGTTCATAGATGCACATATCCCCTTCTGGTGGGCTGAGTGGTCGGTTAGTTGGGAAGCATATCCATGCTGCAGCCCTGGCGAGATCGCTAGAACTCAGGCGGCTTCAGGGTTTAAGCAATGAGGCACGTCACTATTGTAGGCCTTAAATAATTTTTTCAGCCTTCGGTCCAGGCAATGCATTTTCCTCTTTGAGGGCAGGAGCTTATGTGGCCCAAGCCCTTCTTTTAAAAAAGCCTACTTCTGTAATATGGCCCAACTGCCTCCAGGTCTGACAGCTTGTGAAGTCCCTTTGGTAGGTGTCAGGTCCTTCTGCTCTCTTCCAAGGAAGCCTATTAGCCTCCATCCTCATCTTGCTGAAAGTGGAGTACGTAACTCTGCCATAGCCGCCCCACACCCCTCAGTTGCTATGAATGAACTTTTCCAAAAATGGGGGGAGAAGAGACAGGAAGGGATCAGAGTTCTAGGCTCACTCCCAGTACTGGCTCTTCAAGTTACACAGCCTCCCCATTCCCTGGCTGCTGCAAGAAGAAGAGTGAAGGAAACGGATCAATACTGTACAACTCTCCTAGTCTTTATTTTTGAATCCTCTTTCTCCATAAATAATTCCAGTACCTGGCTCTGACGTTGCATCCGCAGCTCTCCCAAGGAGCAGTGTAAAATTGATATGACTTCATTTTATTCTGTATTTTATTCTGAATAGCACCAATAAAATTGACCATACTGCTGTTAATTGGACTTTGCAGCTGCTTGGGGAAGCTATAAGCTGCTGCTGCAGAGGAACTGGAACTGCTACATATATCTTTGCAACCGTAAGTGCTAGGAACAATTTTTTGAAACGGAAGTTAAATTAAACACAGATGTATGTGCTCTTTCCCCAGAAAACTTCCCACTCACTGATACTTCTTAAATTCTGCATCCTATCAGGAAACTCCAAAGTTATTTCTTAAATGTGTGTGATCTGATGATGGTATACAAAACAGCAGCTGGCACAGCAAGGGAGAAATTTCACAGAAGCCGGATAATTGTATGAATTTTTTCAAAAAAAGCTAAGAAATCCGTAGCTCCAGGAGGGTGGTGAATAGGGTAAATCTAAGAAACGTGAAAATCATTGTGACAAACTAATGAAAAATACAATTCTGAAAAAAAAGACACCCAAGTTCCCATGTATCAAAAAATAGCACATAAAAGCCTAACGGTGCTT